TTCTTAGCTTACATTTTTATTGAATTATATTGGAATGAGGTAGGCATATAGAATAGTAGCACTGTGGCACTGCAGTGACGTTCTGATATATATTCATAACCGTTGGCACCGCACTCTGCAAGATGTATTTTTTTTCAGAGGAGAATCAATTCCTGAACAAGGCTTGCAGCAGCCCCGCAAGAATGTGCATGCAGAGGCAAAGCTGTAGCTTTAAAACGCCTGGAGCACGTTTTTAAAAAAAGATGATTTAGGCATATTGCGTTTACGTTTTTGAATAACTTTGTTCTTTCGTTCAATATACAATATACTGCATATGTAAACATCTAGTAGTCTATTTTGGTGGGAAATTCATTCTTTCTTGGTTAATAAAAAATTGATTGCTTTATTTGAATCAATTTGACCTGTAGAACAGGTTTTGTAATAGAGCGAAGGTTGTAAGTATTTTTAACGCACATCTTAGCAATTAGACAAGTCTTTATAAATAATTACAATAAGGTGGAAAATAAACAACCGTGTTCAGATATTATATAGGCATTTCAGAATAAAACACTTGTCTTTAAAGAATATCGAGTGAGTGAATCTAATTTGTGATGTATGATATACCCATCATAATGTAATTTTTGACTGACTAAACTACTGAACATGAATATTCAAATGGTCTCTGTGTGCATTGGAAACCAGAATAGAAGGCATATTTTAATAGCGTCGAGGCAAGCGAGCTTTAACCGATGTTGCAATCGATTTTTCCCCGCTTTTTGACAACGTAAGACGCTCAGCCACAACAATTCAACTCCCAAATCCCTGAATGACAGATTTCCTTGACTTTAACTCAGACGATCAAAACTATATAGGCTAACTCTTGTTTTATACTATAAATGAAATAATGGTTATATGGATCAACTCAAGACTGTGCTTTATAAGAGCCTAAAATGTATTATTCATGTTTTCATATCAGAAAATGGAATAAAATTAAACAAATATTTATTATTGTAACATTTGTGTATACTCTGAATGTTCTTTGCATAAGGCAGGTTTAAAGAGTTCAAATATATATAATTATTATGCTTTCCATTCTTCATTTGTTTTCTGTTATATGTGCACATGCCTAATAAATGTATGAATCTGAATGAAGATTTGGGCCCAGTGTGATAGAGAGATCTACAGAGAGACCGACAGGTATCTGTCTATATATGTCTGTGTAGTAGTAGGTTCATATTGTAGGTTTAGCGCGTATAATAGCAGAGCAGTGAAAACAGACTAAAGTTTTGTTGTGTAAATATAACAGAAAATATATAAACATCTATTGCTTTTTACCATTAGATATAAGATTTGACAATACAAGAATTTGCCAAGTGACCGACAATTTCTGTCCCAACTTTGTCAGAAAATGAAAATAATTTGTGTGTGTGTGTGTGTGTGTGTGTGTGTGTGTGTGTAAATTATTGTCTCTTTTAGGTGTTTTCGTGATGACGTCAATGGTGATTGAACTAGGCAATTGGTTCCTCTTTTTTAATCTATATTTGACAGATCTCAAAATGTAACTTCCCAGGTAATGCTTTGTATTGTTATGTTATGTATTGTCATATTACTCCTTGAACTTGGGCTAAAAAAGTGTAATTATAAAAGTCAGTTTTAAAAAAAAAAAGTTCAGATTTCTGGTTGTATTATGTATTTGGGACTGTGATTAAGAAGCTGATAATTCAGTGTGCATTCCACCACAACGGTAATTTAATTGAGAATGAAAGGGCATGAATATATGTATTTCAGTTTGCACCTGTGGTTTCTTTGCAACAGAAGTGAAAACATCAAAGCCAAAGACTAGAGAAAGCGATATTTGTAACATAGATTGAAACACGCAGAGATGTGCATTTCTAGATGTACTCAGTTTTAAGGAAACGTTCAGTGTTAAGAGAAATATATATTTGTAATATTTGAAATCAGTCGTTGTACTTTTCCTACGCATCCCCAATCACAGGCGCACGTTCACGTAGAGACAAACTGACACAGACACAGGGGCACTCACTGGATCCTCTTCCAGTTCGACACTGTGGTCACAATTTGAAAGGCGCAGTGTGTTAATGCTCCCATTTTAGCGCTCTTACTGTTATTCAAACAATGCTCACTGATTTGGCTGTAGACTTGCTAATGCGCAACTGTAATGTAGCTATATTGGATCTTGTAGGCTATTTCACAAAGTGTCGAAAATGTTCATATATTTTATTGAGGGTGAAGTGTAATTTGAACTGATTTGCAAAACATTTCCAAACTAGTACATGAGCTTACACATACGCAGTATCATTATGATACGGTGTTAGAGAGGAGATGCGTTTAATTTAATTGTAAACTACACACGTGTAATAAAATGCATATTTCGGACTAATAACAGACAGGAATGGCAGATGTCAACAGAGCCTTTTAAATGAGCGCTATTTCAAATCTTTTTATGAATATACCTACATATTCAAACTTATTTTATTGATTCATACGTGTGTTTTAAATTAATATTTTCAACTTGTACATGAAGCAATAATCTGAGCACAACGTTGCCGCGTGTGGAGTGCGACCTTGAATATGAAATTAATCAAACGTTGTGTAAATAATGGAAATGTATTTGCATTGACGAATAGATTTACTTTTCATATCACTTGGATTTTGTTATAATAAGAGATAAGTTGTGTTATTCTTGTTATAACAGTGCTGTTTAACAGGGATCGTTCCCGATATAATTGTTAGAAATGTACTTTTGAAGTTATTTGCAGTTGACAAATCAAAGTGAGCTCTTCAAAAAGATAATCCAAGGTAAAATTACTAGTTTACTGCATAAGCTATTGCAAGTTCTGCCCTACATCATATAGAAAAATAAGTTAGCAAATGTTCGACCAAAACTCTTTTGCCTGCCTCTTACTTTACATTTTTATGTTTTCACATCAATAATTTGCTGGTTTGAGGAAGAAAATGTAAAGAAATATTGTACATTATTATATCAGTATAAACAATTTTTCTGTGATTTGTGACAAACATGGTTAATGTAGCGCAACTCGTTTAATTAATGTCAACAAATCTGGATAATATAAGTCAGACGAGTTAGCAAGAAGTTCCATAAAATGTCATACAGAGGAACACTTCACAGAAATACGAGAAGAAGAATGAAGATTCACCGGAAGGGGATTTCTGCATTTTTTGTCGTATTTGTCTTCCTACTCGTAACAGTTTAACAGTTGCCGGTGCACTTTAAAAAGGCGAAATTTAATTCGGGGCCCTCTTGGATTGTTTGCCAGTTTCTTTTCCGTTTTCCCAAGCTGTATCTCAAAGCCTTTCAAGCTACAGCGAGTTTGCATGCATACGAGTGTGAAGTTCATTCTTGTCAGTCTAGACTCTGATTACGACCCTGTTTGTCTGCGTTTTTTTTTTTTTACCTTGACCTTGGACTTCCATGCAGCTGCCATTTGTAAGATTTGTCCATTCTTCAGTCTGTGAAGTCAACGTTGGATTTATCTTTGCAAATAAGAATAATCAATGAACTCATCAAAATTATATCTAACGCACAAAACACACAACACTGTCTAAAAGTTAAAAACAGTTCAGATTTTATAATGCACAAAGACCGTCTCTGTCTCGACGCTACACAATTGAAACTAATAACAGGAATGTTTTAACAGAGTATGGGACTCTCTTATTCATTCCTCATGAAACGTTGCATTGTAAATGTGCCACATCAGACCGGAAGAAAATCTTGTACAGTGGCGATGCATTCTTTCTTGTCATGACACTAGCTGGATCTGATTCAATGTATTCTACATTCTAGTATTCAAATAAAAATGCAGCATATAATAATAAACAACTACCATGCTTGCAAAAACTGCAAATATTTTTGTATGTGTATTGTGTAATCCTGACATTGGACATTTTAAATCAATGGGAGAGAGTGATGTTAATAAAGAATGTGAAAATGTATCCATACTTAAATTTCAAAAAAAATTTCAGCCGTATATTTTGCTGATTGTCATTGCTTTGTTGATCTCATACAAAACTATGTACACATCAGCACGCGTTCCTAAATGTTGGAGGGTACGTCGAAAATAATAATTAAAACAACTCTTAAAACTGCAATTGTGTAACTGAATATGTAGGAAAATTATTTTATAACAGTGCTACACAAACATACAAATCGATGGAAAACAATTAAAAAAAGAATCATGATCATACGACATTATTTTCATAATGAAAAATACATGAAATAACATGACAGAGCACACTAATGCTTTTTTTTTTGCCCTGTGTAGGATGTTTTTTTCTGTTTGTAGTGTTGTTGTTTTTTGTTTTGTTTTTTTGCATTTTTGTTTGCAGAGTATTATAGGTATTTTTATTAATAGTTATTTTGTTGTTGATTTGTCCCTTAAAATATATGTTACAGCACAGCAGTTCATTCGTATATTAAATAACGCAAGTATTTCCCCTCAAATGCAGTCGGAAGTGAATCCTTTCCTCCAGGTTAATGACGATAACGAACAGCTGCTTTTATTGCAATAAAATAACTGAATTCATACGATTTCTATAATGCATAATTTTCTTATGCTACTCCTATTCTGTAAAACTATGAATTTATGCACGTTTCCCTGTATGTATATATTTATGTATATATTAATGTTGTTACTGATATGCTGCGTTTGAGATTGTAGATAATGAAGGTTAAATTAAAAACAGTGCATATAAATGCATAGAAGTGCTCGGACATTTGTCGGCCGAATTGTTGAGGTTGTTTTCGTTCCCCCTTAGCTTAAAGCCTTCCCCTTTAAGAACAGTTATCTCCAACTCTCTTAGCCAATGCCTGGTCACCGAAAACCTTAGAAACCAGGCGTGAAACGTGAGCCAGTAGTTGTTTAAAGGGATTATTCTTCCCACCCACAACCCAGTCTCTTTGGGATAGTTAGCATATCACGTGCCTGCGCTTTAATGAACTGGACACATGGATGTAGTCGTGCGCATGCGCGTACGTAAAATGTACTTGGAAATGAGGTATCAGTCTTGGAGTAGGCGACTTTTAAAAAGCATCGGCAGCCCGTGATATGACGACTTCGCTGGTCCTGCATCCACGCTGGGCGGACACCTTGATGTACGTGTATGAAAAAAGCCCGAATGAAAATAACCAGAATAAAAACCAAATTATGGAAGGATTGAGCGGGAATTGCCCTGCGACTCATTGCAGGGAACTGATCTCACACCCCGCGCTGGGGCGGCATTCCGGCACCATAGCGACTCACCAGGGATCCGTGTACTCGGATATATCCTCCCCTGAAACTGGGCGACAGTGCCCCGCTCCACAGACGTCATCTAGCGCCTCTCTGAGTTACGGCTATCCCTTTGGAAACCCTTACTACGGTTGCAGATTATCTCACTCGCACAACGTGAACTTGCAGCAGAAACCATGTTCATACCATCCCGCAGAAAAATATGCCGAGACGAGCAGCGCCTTGCCCACGGAGGAGCTCTCCAGCAGGGCAAAAGAGTTTGCTTTCTACCCGAGTTTTGCCAGCTCGTACCAGGCGGTTCCAGGATATCTAGACATGTCGGTGGTCCCCAGTATTAGTGCGCATCCCGAGCCACGTCACGATGCATTGATCCCCATGGATGGATATCAACACTGGGCTCTGTCGAATGGCTGGGATGGGCAGGTGTACTGTTCAAAGGAGCAAACACAGTCTTCTCATCTTTGGAAATCTCCGTTTCCAGGTATGTCTTGCCATAGCTGTGTAACCATGAAAGAATGAAAAATGCATATGTAATAAAGGGATGATACGACTTCCTGTTATGATATGATATACTTTTCCCCAACTGAACGTGCAAAGTATTCGCCTAAATGAAATGTGTAAATATATATTCTTCACGAAAAGTAATCCGTTGATAAGAGCTTTCAACTCACAACTCTACATAATGGATTAAGATTGCGCATCCAGAAGGTCTGCATGAACCTGCCAAATGTGTAGATTTTGTTCTGTTCATTCTTGACATGTGACAGTCGGTAAATGTTCAATTGGCTTTCCACAACAAGAATTTGAGCGAATCCTAAACTCAACAAGTTTCCGCAAGACTGAGTTTAGTTCGCCTAAAATATACTTTTTATTTACTACGTCTTACATAAAATAGTACAATGTTTGAGGGACGTATCTGGTTACAGAGGTTAGTCATATATTAACTCGAATATTATTGAGTCACAGGATTCTAAAGCTAGGAAAGTCACGCAATTTGGAACTGGGGTATGGCAATACTTTCTACCTTTGCTCCTCCCGTGTGATAATACAGAAGGTTCTTATTTGTAGCACGCATATAAATCTTTGTCAGCAGTGATCGGGAGTGGTGCCCCGCAATCTGTTATGGACATTTTGCGAATGCCATGGTGCAGCATTTTTTCCCCTAAGAGCAGCTGACGTTCTGTAGTCAAGTTATTGATTTTAGCTGTGAGCAAAAATATTGCATATGATGCAAACGCCAACTCAGTCATTCAGTATTGTTACTCAGCTGTGGCAAATCAAAATTACCAGTGCTATGTAGGTATTCACTGTAATTTCAGATCTAGTGAATTGTCACCACCATCACGCCCCTGACCCGTTTAGCAACCCTTCCCCCTAGAAGAGGTCACATACACAGGTAGCCATATATTCATATAGTCACAAATAAGGATATAACAAAATGTGCTTGTTTAATGCAGTCCTTTTGATGAAAAACATCTAATGCTGTTTTCGTACATGCCAAAAAAACAGTTCTTTACAGTTTCTTCAAGTGTGTTTGGGACCGTTAGACAATAATTCGTGGCTGACAGAAGAGCAGAGGACATGCCTCTGTCTAAAACATTATGTACCAGTTTACTAACAGGGAAAATCCTAGAACACATCTGAATGTGTCTGTGCATCAGCTGCCAGAGTAGCCTAATATCCTTCACCTTATGTTACCTTTACTGTGCCACAGTCAGGTTGTGATTTTGGAAAAATAATGTTGCTGGGCGTTAGTACTGATTTATAATACACATTATAATTAAGGTATACGTGATTTTACATAATAGTATACTGCATTATAACTGACAAACACTTGTCAATGCTACCCACAATCCTGGCGTTTTAGCAAGAATTTAAATTCAGGGTGATTTGGTCTTTTCACAAACCCCATCCATCCAAACTTTACTCGAGAAATATTTATTGTTATCTGTATATCAGTGCTGGTTAAAAACTTGTTCTGTTAGGCTACTCCAATGCTTGGAAAGAAAAAAACAAAACCTGATGCATCGTAAAATGGATCGAAAAATATCTCCCATCCACCTATAGATATATCAGTAGTTAATATTATTTTTTATATATATATTATTTTTGATTCAATAAACAAAGTAGCTCATAAAAGGAACATAGCTACCTCTTTGTTTATTTGACAGTATTGCCCCCAGATATTTAATTCATTTGACGAAACAATTAAATACTTAATTAAATAGCCAAACTCATGGTGTTTCCCCAAAGTGTCGAATTGAACCAAACTTTCGTAATCTTTCATTTGTGTCTCACTAGGCATAACAGGTTATAATAATATTTTCATTTATGTTTTGTTTTTTTAGATGTTGTTCCGTTGCAGCCAGAAGTCAGCAGTTATCGTCGAGGGCGCAAAAAGCGTGTTCCCTACACCAAGATGCAACTAAAGGAACTGGAAAAAGAGTATGCAGCAAGCAAGTTTATCACCAAAGACAAGAGACGACGCATCTCTGCGACAACCAACCTCTCAGAACGCCAAGTTACTATTTGGTTCCAGAACCGCAGAGTGAAGGAGAAAAAGTTTGTCTGTAAATCCAAGACTAATAATCACATGCATACTTGATGTATGTTTCGTGCTTTTTTTCCCGCCAGTTTATACCCTTCTGTCCAGAAAGTCTGATATTTACCTCTGTTCAGAAATCGTGAATGAAGAACATCCGGGCAGCCTCAAGCCTAACCTGTCTTCTTTCACTTTATTTAATTTAAATCATGCACACAATACCATAACCGCTCACTCTTTAGCTTTTTGGGCATATGATACAAAACTGTGAAAATGCAGAAAAAAAGAAAACATTTCAACTTCGTCCTTTTCTATGAATGTACATATATAAATAATAAATATTTAAAATTACACAAATATCAAAGAGACACATGGTTTACGTGCATCTGAAAATAAAGGGAGAAGCGAGCCTTCTGCATCTCTTCCTGAGTGCGTCAAAGCCAACCAGCCAGCAGAAAACACTCGAGGTGCTCAACACGCACGAGAAGAGAGAGAGAGAGAGAGAAACAAAAAAAATTCTGTGAGACACTTTGGTAGAATCAAGACTTGTATGAACTCTCGAAAGGCTGTAGCAAATGTTGAACTGGATCATAGAACCGTCATTTGTTTTTCGTGGAAATTACAAAGATTTTGCTTGAATGAGCCTGCGAGACTTCAAAAGCTATATGGATCACTGTGGGATACATTGCTTTTTAATGCCCGAGGGTAAACCAGGCTGCTAATGTTAACTGTACAGTTTAAGGCTTCTATTATTTAATTTAGATTTCGCGTATGACAGGTCTGTAAAAAAGGAATGTTTCAAGATCATTTGTATATGTCCCTATTAGCAGTGAAGGATATGACTCTGCCATGCAACTGGAATGATTGTAAGCATTTAAAATCATTTAGTATTAAACATTAATGCACAACCTTTTTGTTTTTATATAGAAATATATATCGTAAAGCATTGGAGCTGTTCACACATATATATATATATACACACACACACATATATATATATATATATATATGTATATGTGTATATATGTGTATAGTTTTAACCAGGCTATAATAGCTAACTTGCCTTAATAAACTAGAAGTGCTGTTAAATGTACAGTCGAAGGGCGTATATGAGCAAAAATAGATCTTGTGTGAATATAAGAAACTCTGTAATGTGGTGTATACTTAGGAACTTTTAATCCCTCGGTAACACCTAGGCCTATGAGGCACACACCCGGTTACTGATAAAACTTTTTGTCATCTGTCAACTATCAGGGATGTGCAGAAGTTGGTTACTTTGAGGAGTGAGAAATTTGATGTTAACTGCACGATAGTTAGGCCTTCTGTTATAACGTCACGTGATCGCGCGTTACCCTTGACCATGACTATGCTGTCGCTTTGACCTTGACATCACAGAGTCTTGTGAATAATAAACAGAGGGGCTGGACACCACTGCCTGTGGTTTGTTTTCGGGCAAACAAGGTGTTATTTCCCTGTCTAGACGGCGAGAGTTAATGACTAGCAGTGAAGGATATGACTCTGCCATGCAACTGGAATGATTGTAAGCATTTAAAATCATTTAGTATTAAACATTAATGCACAACCTTTTTGTTTTTATATAGAAATATATATCGTAAAGCATTGGAGCTGTTCACACAACTTGTCTGTATCTCTTTTCGTGCAGTATGTGAACTGTATTGTGGTGTTCAATTCCTAAAGTACTGAATTGAGACATATTTCATAAATAAATATGACAATGGAATGTTGCTTGTAGTGAATCAATGCATTTCAATTATCAGTGACAGAGGTGGCCCATTTATGGCCGCTTCCATAGATACATATGTGTCCATCTGTTTGATAAAGCTTGCAAGTGAGCTCTTACAATAGATGCGATGTTTTTGTGTCATTTTGGTGAGGGGTTTTCAATAGACTTCATGTGCGTAGGCTACATATTGCAAAGAACTTTATTCATCGATAGTAGTTGCTCGGGGTTACCTAAAATATAGTGGAAAAAAACACACAACTTTCATATTAGTGACAAGACAGGATAGTATTGACGATTGCAAATGATATAGTATGATCAGTAAACTTTTTACTCAAACAGTCGATTTAGATACATAGTTTAAATGTTAGCAGTACAAAATTGAACGCCGAGTTTAATTTGAACCAGAACGCTCAAGCGACGGGGCTTCCAGTAGTCCTTGCATATTTTAATAATTCAAGCAGTGCACTACACAATGCGCGTAGTGTTTATTTACTTAAGTATAGTGCTAACAATATAATTCTTCATTATAATTATATTCAATATTATCGTTAATTTAGAGTAAGTGCTCGATTTAAAAGTCTGCTCCATTTGTCGGTAATTTTACCACAATTTAACTAATGTTTTTGAACAATAAATACGAAAAAAAGCGAATTTTCGATGAAATGTCACTACGAATATGCCACAGCAACATTTAGATACAGTATGATCTTCACCGTTTCCTACTGGATCACAAGGATTATGTATGGTCGGAAGCATAGCATTCATCTAATGCTTAAACATTTCCTTTATCAACTTATAATTAACTTTTCAATATTTATTAAATAAAATAAACTACCTGAAGCACTGTTAATGGTCTAATTTCTTTTAACTACTTTTTCTTATGACTTTTTCTTAGGCTACATTCAAGGAATAAATTAAATGCTGTCAACTTCCTGTTATAACTAATTTGCTAAAGACGGTGGTGTACCGGACAGTTCTTATGAGTCTTACAATAATCAGGAGAGGATAATTAATCATGATTTAATTAATATCGTGTCAACAAATTATGTTTTTAAACAGATTTTAGCTGAGTTAATCTTCTAAGATCTAGAAAATAGGCTTGTTGATTTTTATTTAAACTAAAGGTTTCTGATTTTTTGATCGCAGTTGATCTTTACACACACACACACACATACATATATAGGCTACATACATTATGTGTGTGTGTGTGTGTGTGTGTATATATATATATATATGTGTGTGTATATATATATATATACACACACATATATATATATATATACACACACACACACACACACACACACACACACATATATATATATATATATATGTATATGTGTATATATGTGTATAGTTTTAACCAGGCTATAATAGCTAACTTGCCTTAATAAACTAGAAGTGCTGTTAAATGTACAGTCGAAGGGCGTATATGAGCAAAAATAGATCTTGTGTGAATATAAGAAACTCTGTAATGTGGTGTATACTTAGGAACTTTTAATCCCTCGGTAACACCTAGGCCTATGAGGCACACACCCGGTTACTGATAAAACTTTTTGTCATCTGTCAACTATCAGGGATGTGCAGAAGTTGGTTACTTTGAGGAGTGAGAAATTTGATGTTAACTGCACGATAGTTAGGCCTTCTGTTATAACGTCACGTGATCGCGCGTTACCCTTGACCATGACTATGCTGTCGCTTTGACCTTGACATCACAGAGTCTTGTGAATAATAAACAGAGGGGCTGGACACCACTGCCTGTGGTTTGTTTTCGGGCAAACAAGGTGTTATTTCCCTGTCTAGACGGCGAGAGTTAATGACATACCATAAATACATAAAAAAATAAAATGCTCTGATAATCCAATATCCTTGTCAGTGTGAACATGTACACTCGGTTTTTTTTTTACTTCTCATAACAATTGACCACTCTGATTTTTCTCTTCTGCGATCCCTTGCCCGTATAAGTTTTAAACCACCAATGGTTGTATTCTCTCATCATGAGGTGTAGGCTTTATTGACCACGAAGGCAGGCAGTGCATTTACGTCTGCAAAAGACAGTGTTCACAGAGATGTCATCTTGTTTTATTTCCATAGGCGCGCCGAGGAATGATGGGTACTACTTCCCAAATATCAAGAGATGCATCCAGGGTCACGTCAAAAGGTATAGCTAGTTTATTTATTTGTAGTGAATATGCACAATGCCTTGGTGTTTTTAATATGGAAATGAGTAGTATGTTTATAGATATAGAACTGTATGCATTTATTTTATGGTCTTTTATTGATGCACTTGCTCTGTCAAGCTAGGCGCAAGGCCTTTTCAATATATGCATAGATCTATTATTAGCAATGCGGGGAAAAGGAAAAGTTTTCTCAATATGTTTTTTCCCCTACTCACTTGAGCTTCACACACACACACACACACACCACGCTTTAAAATTTTTCAAATGCCCTTGTTTTCGTTAATTTATTGCATAATGTAAATATTTCATCATTTTATGCTCTCTGCAAAAAGTATAGAATTATTTAAATTGTAGGATTTCTAAAGTCTGAATATAAATTCTGAACAGATTATTAAAAAATTATTAAAAAAGACAGTATTTCTCATAATTATCTGTAAGTAGTTTAGTTAGTAAGTAGATTTGTTTTGTGTAGCACTATTTTTGTTATTAATTCGATAGAAATAATTTTATTGTTTTGACTATAATTTTAATAACACTTGCTGGTTTTATATATGACAGATGGTGGTATTGTAATATAGAAATCTGTTACGTAAATTTGCTGTGCTAATTTTTGTCGTGTAACAACTGCTTTTCACCACTGCATTGGTTTATTAATTGCAATCTCAACAACAAATGATGTTGTAATAATATGCCCCTAAAACAGATTCTTAGCTTGCTGTCCAAATTGATTTAAGCACACACGTATACATTTTTAAAAAAATAAATAAAGGATATACGCATAAAGCAGGCACGTTTCTGGTGGCACATATCTCTACCAATGCTGGAATCTGAGAACAATAAATATAGAAATAAACTATCTTCAGAACTATATGGTTGTGATCAATGTGCTACTTAAATAATAGATGTTTAATGCGAAAGGCCTGTTCAGCCAAACACACGGGCTCACGTTAGTTTTTTTTTTTTTTTTCGCCGATTCTAAACAGACCAGCTGGAATGCGAGGAGAGAGATCAGCGGGTTGAGAAGAAAGGGGGCTGATAACCTCTGGTGGCGTATGCTGGAAATATCAGGAAGTGAGCAGTGTAGATTCAGCACGAAGACATGCTTTGCAGCGGTCTTTATGTAGACAATTTGTGTCTGGCGCACGTCCTCTTACAGGATATGTGTGTTTAATTTAAGAGGAAGTATAGCTAAACTACTAATATGTAGCTTATAGTATATATTTCAAGAATTGCTAGTGTTCATGGAAAGGCATGGGGACACACATTGAATTGAATAGAGTCGTTCATTGAAATATGGTGCGGCTGATTTAATTCTCAACTGTATTTAATATGTATTTAATATGTTATACATATGTTATATATTATATGATATATAGATATATATTGTAAATGCGTCTGTTAAAATGAGACGCAGATTTGCGTCTGTAAATGTTTTTGTTTCTCTTTGTATTTTGTAAAATTCCCAGCTCGAAGTATATAATTGCATAGTACCTGAAAATAAAATAATAAATAAATAAACAAATAAATTTAGAAACAAAAGGTTAAATCTGAGTTCAGGTTTGCAATTTTCAAACTCCGTAAGTGTTTCGCAAACA